ATGGTAAGCACAATGCTTACCAAGGTTTCTTCCCATAAATTCTCCTGGCACCCTAGCTGGTGCTCTTAAATAGGGCTGTGATCGGATTTTGTCTAGAACTTTGTGAATTGGGATTCGAAACACAGTTGTGAGTGCCTGTGTAGCCCTCAGTCCTATCTCTTTGTTGGATCCGTTGTTACCTCGGCCTCGCTTCGGCGAGCCGTTACCTTTCTCTTACTTTGTCTCTTTAGTTCGTGATGTGTCTTCCTCGGCTCTGGCATACTTCTTGATTTTGGCCATGAGCTCTTCCATGCTTTTTGGCAATGTCTTTGCCAAAGACTTTCGTAGTGGACAGTCGTCTTTTAGGCCGTTCTTGAAAGACACAACCGCCACCTCTTTGTTACACTCGGGTATTCGGTTGAACACCTCATAGTACCTTTTTGCATAGGCCTTAAGGCCTTCATCCTTACTGATTCTCAGAGCCATCAATGTGTCCACCCTTAATGGCTGTAGCTTGTTTGTCACGAACTTGGCCACAAACATCTCGGCCAGGCCTTCCCAGGTCTTCACGCTTCCCTTTGGCAGTTTGTGAAACCAATCTGATGCAATCTCCCCGAAGGATGAGGGGAACACCTTGCAGAACAGCGGCTCGTTCCCACTATATAATGCCATTGAGTTTAGGTATAATCCAACGTGAAAGTTGGGGTTTGACTTACCATTGTATATTTAGAACCTCGGCATACTGAATCTCTTTGGAGCCTCAAACTTGTCCAATTCCACCGAGAATGGTGTTCTTGGCTTAACAGGAGAAGTTACCTCGGCATCGGCATTCTGTTGTTTCCTTTTGAGGTAATCTCTCAAATCTTCTTTGCTCCGCCTAGGAGCTCGGCTATCTCCCGACTTCAGTCTTTTCGGCATACTACTCTCAGCTTCGTTGTGGGCCCTTTTCAATCTTTCTCCATGAGTTGTGTCGAAGCACAGCTCCTGCCTTTGAACATGGTGATGTTCTCTGGGGTCTGCTTTTTTAGTGCGATGTGTCCTTCGTGACTCTTCTCTCCTCGACTCTCCTCGTCCGACCTCCTTGGAAGGCCGGTGAGAGTGTTTTTCGCTTCTGGTGTGCTGAGGGGCTGTTGGGATTGGCTTCTGCCCTCCCTTCTAGGCATTGGCCGCTGGAATTGGCGTGTCCTGCAGCGGGAATGGTGGCTGCATGATGTTATTTTACATCATAAAATTGACGACCGATTGTAGGTCTGCCAACTTGTTTGCCATCTCTGTCACCTCTTCGTCCATCCGCAGGCATCTATCCTTCCATACCTGGAGGTCGTTCTCGTTGTAGTACCCACTTCGATCTGGTTTCTTTGGCACGTTGCCATCCTGGCCGACGTCTTTCTTGCCGTGATTCTGGTTCTAAGTTTCCTCATTGCGACCATCTTCCTCCATATTAGGATCAATGTGCTTACTGTTCCCAGCAGGAGTTTCGTTCCCAACCTTATCCTTCTGTCCGTTGTTGGCCATCTATTCTCCTTTCTTTCCCACAGACGACGCCAAATTGTGTGTGTCAATTTCTGACCACACTGCCAACTCAGTATTCAGCTGGAGAGCACTGGCAGAATAGATGGCGCCCGATTGACTTGCAACAGAAAGAGAAGATTCTGGCGGTGGTTCGTCCACCTGGGGGCACTTCGACGATCAAGTCAGTTATCTCTCAAAGATAAATCAAGTGCTTAACTCACTATTCAGAATACAAATTGCGTACCTTAGACCCATGGAGGTGCCTCTCTTTTATAGCCATCACTTACCTAATCCCAAGAAGCCTTGCTTCAATGGACTTTTAGTTTAGTGCTTATCATGGACTCTTCAATAGATAAAGATAAACTCCCTAAGAGCTTTATCCTTATCCAGGCTGAAGCCTTTTCTCATTCTAGGACTCTTGTCCCTTATCCGCTTATCTCGGATTCCAATATCTTCAGAGGTAACCTCGGTCTAGCCGAGATAACCTCGGCATCACGACCAGGACACGTGGCACCTCGGCTGACATGTTGGCGTCACCTTGGCCACGTGTTAGTATCTCAGAAAATATATCCCCACAATTGATATGTATAATGTGAGAGATTGAGATAAGAAAGAGAAAAAATAATGGATTGATATGTAATAGAGAGAAAAATAATTTTGAATTTTTTTAAAAAAACTTTTGAACCAAATAAATTTTTAAAATTTTTCTTAACAATTATCTCTTAAGATACAAATCAAATAAGGCCAAAATTCTTATATAGTGTGTAAAATTGGGGAGAAGAAATTGACAATCCTTTATTGAGAGATATCTAGGGTTGGGATTCAAGTTGTGTCCATTCATGAACCGAATTAAAATTTTATTTTTAAAAGGGTCAAAATATGAATAATTTTTTAATCAATTAATATAAATTATCGTCATCCAATAATTAAATATTAAATTAATACATAACAAATAAATTAAATATTTACTTTGGCATCGTTTGCTAACTAATTTTTAGTTAAAAGTCAAAAAGTTACAAAAAAAAAAAAAAACCTAAAATGTCAAAATGTCACATAATACACATCAATCAATGAAAATCAAAAAATTTCTTTCTTCACAACTATATATTCAACTAAAAATATTATTACGAACATATTATTTTTTTCATCTTGAAAAATCTAGAAATCCGCTAGATATTGATTTGTGATTATGTATCAATTTAAAGTAATAAAATAATCCCAATCAAACAATCAAGACAAATCAACACAACGATTTTAACGTGAAAAAACCACAATTAGAGTGTCTCCAATTGTGATAAAAAATCACGGGCAACAACCACAAAACAATCCACTAAGAAGATATAAAGGAATTACACAGGTATACTCTCAATTATCTAGCGAATCCACGCCCGAATTGAACCAACCCCTATGTGCTTCTTCTAGCCCCGTCTTTACCTCAGAATTGTCTTGATGATGAGCCACTCCAGAATCCACCAAAGTTTTAAGCTCAAATTCTTCAGAATCCACTGAAGAACAACTCTCTCTCTTTTGTATAGAATGAATAAACAAACCTTTGATGTATTCTTCTTAACCCATGAGTTGAATACTCAATTAAACATCAAAGAAAACTAGTAAAATATCCCCAGATATAAACCTTAATATCCAAAAAGAAAATCTGAAGAAGTAATCCTAAAATCTGACAGAAACACGTACTTATAGAAATCTGAATCGCGATGCACGCTCGAGCGAAGACTCTCTCGCTCGAGCGAGGAACCAAAAATGCATGTTTTCCATAAGTGGCTTCGCTCGAGCCAAACAACCTGTGCTCGAGCGTAAATTATCTCTTTCAGGTTTTTACACAGACGCAGCTTTCGCTCGAGCGAGCAAGGGCGGATAGGCAATTTCGAATGCAATTTTACATTTTACTTCGGGGGCGCTGCCCTTCAACTTCGCCTGGGCGTTGCCCCGGACTCGCTAAGGGGCGCTGTCCCCTCGACCCCCGCGAGCTGACCGGGCAGCTTGATTCCCGGCATAATCAGCGAAGTGGTAATTTTGAAAGTATTAACATCACAAACTTCTCTGCAAGGTATAATTCGGTTTGGATTCACATCTAAAAACTCCTAGCCTCACTGAAATAAAAAGGGCGATAGCCAAATACAACTTAAAGGAATTTTGTCAAACGGGATTGCCAAGAATAAAAACCTAACACATCTCATAAAAATGTCAAAAAATTAAAATATTATTAAAAGAAAACTAAAGTTGTTAAACAGACCTCTTTTGAGCAGTGGTAACAAAGTAAACTTATTAACTTATTAATTTATTTGAATTATATTGTTCTTTTATTTTTTAGTAGGTCTTTTCGTAAGAAAAAAAAAATTTAACTTATAAATTACCCGCAAAACAATCTTTAATCTAGTAATTAATTAATGTTTTAATTGATTCAACTCATGTATTAATTGATGTACTAATCTCGTAAACAATCTGATGTATTAATTGATTCAACTCATTTATCTAATAAATCGGATTTCAAGGTCCATTCAAATCCCCAAAGTTTTCATGATTTGCCATGATAATAAATTTTTCAACAACTCATTTTTAATAGAATAATGCTATAGAGTAACGTTAGAGACCCAAAAAATTCTATTAAAGTTTTTACCAAATGTCTTACATACGGGTTCCACACCTATGTGAGATATTTGGTAGAAACTTTGATAGAATTTTTGAAATCTCTAGTACTTTTGGAATTTTAATCTACCATATGTACCAATTGATATACTAACTAGTGTATCAATTGATGGTGTGACATAATTTAAGAGATTTTTGAAATTTATAATATGATTAATGAGTGTGGTCAATAATAATGTCATAACTAATATTAGTACACTAGTTAGTATGTTCCTAATAATGTCTTGTGATAAATCCACATGTGCCTTTGTTTGATATGTTTGTTGATAAATTTATTAGTGATTTTATGTCGGTATGTTTAATTAGAATTTTTTAGTATCTTAATCTTAGTGTTTTTAAATTTACACATTAACAGCATATAAATTTAAAAATCATTGAATTGATAAATTTATTAGTGATTTTATGTCGGTATGTTTAATTAGAATTTTTTAGTATCTTAATCTTAGTGTTTTTAAATTTACACATTAACAGCATATAAATTTAAAAATCATTGAAACATTTAAATAATAAATATATCTAGTTTAATGAGCAGATTAAAATTAGAAATTACCAAGATTAACACAAGCTAATATACCCATTAAGAAGAAAACTATAACGTGAACCTCTAAAAAGGTACGCATGGTAAGAAAGTAACGAATTTTTGTGATGAAATTTACAATTATTTGTGATGTGTTAGAATACTTTATGGTAAAGTTATATAATGAATTTATAGTGTCCATCCTAAAGTTATGAATGATAAAGTTATACTTTCTGATTTTTGTTATAACATTTTGTGATAGTTTATGAACAAAATCAACCAATTAAACATTATTCATGAAAATAAATTAATAGCAAATTGCAATGAATATCTCAGACATCCAAGGAAGGATTAAAGCAATACTATCTCTCAAGCCTAGCGAAGGCGAAAGATCTTAGTCGGCCACTACGAATGTTTTGAGAAACAAGTCCTAGATTTTTCATCATTGAAATTCTATAGATAAGACCAAACCAAAAATAAATAAATAAAATAAATCAAAACAATCTAGCAATTCAATAGGTGCATTGCGAAAAAATCAATCAATTAAATTTTATTTATGAAACCAAAGTAATAACAAGTTGCAATGAACATCTCAGACATCCAAGGAAGGATTGAAGCAGCACTATCTCTTAAGCCTGGCGAAGGTGAAAGATCTTAGTTAGCCACCGCGAATGTTTTGAGAAACAAGCCTTAGATTGTCATCATCGAAATTCTATACATTGATATGGATCCAAATGTGGATATGGGTAAGGAGATAGGTTAAATAGTTATTTTTAAAATATATTTATTATATAAAAATAGGTTAAAAAGTTATTTTTTAAATATATTTATTATTTTTTATCTTATATATTATTTTTAGTGATAATATTTTTAATTTATCTATATAATTAATTTATTTATTTTTAATTGACATGTATATATTATAAATAAATAATTATAATAAATAAGGAATAATAAATTATGTTAAAATAAATAAAAAATAAAAATAGATTTTTTTTTATAGATTTTTATTATATATGATTTAATTAGATTTCTTTTAAACAATTAGATGATTTATTTTATTTATTATATGTTAAAAAGTTAAGAAATAATAAATTCTGATAAAAAAATAAAAAAGAAATAACAAATACAAATTATATTAGGCATAAAAGAAATTATATTATACATGCCAAATTATATTATATAAAACAAATTCTATTAAAGCGCAGAGAGAGAGAGAGAGAGAGATGAACAGGAGATCGAGAGTGTGAGAAGAGAGAGAGATGAAGACGATCGATATCAATAGTGAAAGAAGAGAGTGACGAAGACGATTGAAACCCTGAGAGATGAAAACGATCGAGATCGACAGTGAGAGTAGGGAGTGGCGAAGATGATTGAAGCCCTAGTCTTAGTCCTAATCTCAGATATGCCACCATATCCATTGTCTTCATGTCGTATCCCGGTCGGATTCCGTACCCGTACCCGTGTTGTGTCGTATTGACACGAGTACTTCATCAAAACTGGCGAGTCTGTGTAACGTAGTATAAGATCTAACCAAAAAAATTAAAAACAAAAACAATCAATCAATGCAGTAAATGCATTGTGAACAAAATCAATCAATTAGACTTTGTTTATGAAAACAAATTAATATCATGTCGAAATCAAGAGCTCAGACATCCAAGGAAGGATTGACGCAGCACTATCGCTCAAGCCTGGCAAAGGTGAAAGATCATAGTTGGCCACCACGATTGTTTTGTGTCATCATCATCAAAATTCTATAAACAAGACCAAACCAAAAAATAAAAAATAAAAATTAAAAACAAAAACAATCTAGCAAAGCAATAGATGCATTGTTAACAAAATCAATTAATTAAACTTTATTTATGAAAACAAATTAATATCAAGTTGCAATGAAAATCTCAGACATTCAATGAAGTATTGAAGCAACACTATCTCTCAAGACTGGCGAAGGCGAAAGATCTTAGTTAGCAATCGCGAATGTTTTGTTTCATCATCGAAATTCTATAAACAAGACCAAACCAAAAATAAAAAATAAAAAATAAAAAAATTTGAAACAAAAACAATCTAGCAATGCAGTAGATGCATTGTGAACAAAATCAATCGATTAAACTTTATTTTTGAAAACAAATTAATAACAAGTTGCAATGAATAGACATCCCAGGAAGGATTGAAGCAGCACTACCTCTCAAGCCTGGCGTAGGTGAAAGACCTTAATTGGCCACCACGAATGTTTTGAGAAACAAAACAAGCCTTAGATCTGTCATCATTGAAATTGTGTATACAAGAACAAACCACAAAATTAAAAAGAAAAACAATCAATCAATTCAATAAAGGCATTTGTAAACAAAATCAATAAATTAAACTTAATTTATGAAAACAAATTACTATCAAGTTGCAAAAAACGTCCAGACTCGTTAGAAAAATTTCCTTGGTCTCCATTTAACAAGAGATTTTTAGGTAAACTCCCTCTATAATTCGTATGCAACGTCACTTGGAGCTAACTCAATTTGGGTGTGTGCAGCCCCTACAAGTCCAATTTCCGAGATGGTTGATTTGGCATGGTAGAGTGAAAACCAAGGATATCGTTTCTAGATTCTTAGCTCTTGACTCTCAATTTTCTAGTGTATGCATTTTTTGTGAGTTTGGACCTTTTCCTCGGAAGGTATGGTGTCTTTGTGTAAGCTACTGGTGACTACATGAGCTTGCCCTATGAATTGAAAGATGTTGGTCTGTTGGCAGGATCATAAATTCAAAAGACTAAAAAAGTGGATTTGGTAGTCCATTCCTTTTGCAGTCTTCTGGGCCATTTGGTTTACTAGGAATAACTGCCTTTTCAATGGATGGACATTCTCTAGGGATAGTTTGGCTGACCTCATCAAGTTCAAAGTAGCAACAAGGGTAAAAAAACAAAAAAAAGAAGATAGGAGTTCTACCCTCACCCTTTCAGATTTAATTTTCAATTTGCAGCAGATGATTTTATGTTCCTTATTTTACTGTTTTCCTATGTAATGTGGTTGGTCTTTTGCCAACCTTGGTGGTGTTCTCTTTGGTGTTATTGTATTTGGGCTCCTTTGGTCTACGAACATGATTGGCCTCTTGAGTGTGTGCCAAACTAGTTGGTATACTCTCTAGTGACATCATTGCAATCAATAAGCTAGAGGCTCGGTGTTTTGTACATTTTCCCACCTACATCTAATAAAATTTCTCTTTCTTAAATCATTAAAAAAAAGGTATCTCAGACATCCAAGGATGGATTGAAGCAACAGTATCTCTCAAGCCTAGCGAAGGCGAAAGATCTTAATTGGCCACCACAAATGTTTTGAGAAACAAGAATTAGATTTTTCATCATCAAAATTCTACATACAAGACCAAGCCAAAAAGATTAAAAACAAAAGCAAACAATCAATACAATAGATGCATTACTAACAGAACCTTCAGTCAAATAAATTTCAATTACAAAAATCGAGAGCTAAATCTAACAGAGAGATAATAAAGCAATGGAATATTGGAACATAGATATTATATCAAGGAGTTGTACCACAAATGTAAGGAATATATTCAAGATAAATTTAACATCAAAGTAAATACATCAAACGCAAATCATTACATGTTTATTATTGTTGCAGCTGCAAAACATGATTAATTTCTAAAACATTTTATTCAAACTATTATATGAACAATTCCAGCAATGTACCTGTGGGGATATATTTTCTGAGTACCAACACGTGGCCAAGGTGACGCCGACGTGTCAGCCGAGGTGCCACGTGTCCTGGTCATGACGCCAAGGTGATCTCGGCAAGGCCGAGGTTATCTCCGAAGATATCAGAATCCGAGATAAGCGGATAAAGCACAAGAGTCCTAGAATGGAAGAAGACTTCAGCTTGGGTAAATATGAGACTCTTAGAGAGTTTATCCTAATTCTACTAGGAGTCCAAGATTAGCAATAAATCCTAAGTCCATTAGAGCTAGGCTTCTATTTGGGACTAGGATTGTGTTGGCTATAAAAGGGAGGCACTCCCATGAGTCTAAGGTATGCTTTTGATATTCTGTCTAGTGAGTTAAGCACTATTGGTTATCTTTGAGAGATATTGAGTACGACTTGATCGTCGGAGTGCTCCCGGGTGGACGAACCACCGTCGGGATCTTCTCTTTCTGTTGCAGGTCAATCAAGTGTCATTGATTCTGCCAGTGCTCTCCAGCTGGTACCTGCTTGATAGTGTGGTCGGAAATTGACACACACAATTTGGCGTCGTCTGTGGGAATGAAAGGAGAATAGATGGCCAACGACAGATCGAAAGAGAAGGTTGGGGACGACACCCCTACCGAGAGTAGGAAACATATTGACCTTCGAAGAAGACAACTACAACAAAGAAACTCGTGATAAGAATCATGGAGAAGAGGACGTCGGCTAGGAGGGTGACGTGCCGAAGAAATCAGACCGAAGCGAGCATTATAAACGAGGACGACCTCTAGGTATGGAAAGAAAGATGCTTACGAAGGGACGACGAGATGAAGGGAATGGCGCACAAATTGGCGGACCTGCAAACGGTTGTCAATTTCATGATACAGAACAACGTCATGCAGCCACCGTTCCCGTTACAAGATACGCCGATTCCAGCAGCCAAGAAAGATGCCCAGGCAGGGGGGCAGAAAACGATTACTGCAGTCCCTCAGCATGGCGGGACCAAGGGACATTCTCACCGGCCTTCGCGGGAGGTCGGTCATGGAGAATCCCAAAAAACACAATCTCGGCCTAGATGATTAGGTCCGAGAAGAGAAGAGCTCAGCCTAAAGTGAGCAAATCCTAGATTCCAGAAGACAAGATCTCGACCTAGATGATTAGGTCCGAGAAGAGAAGAGCTCAGCCTAAAGTGAGCAAATCCTAGATTCCAACAAACAAGAGACCGAAATCATTATTTAACACTTGTTGAAATTTGTAGACAATTTACAAGTTGAAGTTAAACCGAAATCATTGTTTAACACTTGTTGAAATTTGTAGACAATTTACAAGTTGAAGTTAAACTGAGAGCATTGTTTAACACTTGTTGAAATTTGTGGACAATTTACAAGTTGAAATTAAACCGATATCATTGTTAAACACTTGTTGAAATTTGTGGACAATTTATAAGTTGAAGTTAAACCGAGATCATTGTTTAACACTTGTTGAAATTTGTGGACAATTTAAAGTTGAAGTTAAACCGAGATCATTATTTAACACTGATTGCAACTTGAGAAAGTTTACAAGTTGAAGTAAGAGAAAGGATATGTCTTGTACTTGTTGAAATTTGTGATAAATTTACAAGTCATGGCTAAGGTTGTATCAAATTAAGTACTTGGGTACTTGCCGAGGTAAAACATCAGTTTGTATAACCGAGGTGTATCACCCCGAGACGGTTGCAAAGAAGGACGGTTTCGGCTGAGAAACTTGAACGAACTTGGTCGTTGGTTCTA